GAGGAAAATATATATACACCATTCTTTTCTGTTTCCGTTATTTATTCATGTATAGCAAATCGCTAAGGACCCTAATCAATATTCACCAACTGGTTCTTAGAACAGCTCTGGCTCTCCTGGAGACAGACCTTTATGATTTTTTATTTAACCCAAGGCTCTATGGAAATTAACGCAGTTCATTTTATAAGTGGAATCTTACCAGTTCTGCTGTTTAATAAAAGAAATATTTGAAGCAAGGTGAAAATACCTCTCATCAACATAAAGGGTAAGCGCTCGAACCAGGCTTTTCATTTGACTATCAACTATTTCTATAGAACTATACCCGTCAAAGAAAACTAAACTAGAAAGAAAACAAAAATCTTTGGGAGGTAATATGGCTAAAGAAAAATCATTTGCTAAGATTGTACCTTACTTCCCACAAGAACCCCCTGACCATAAAAGTCATAAAACCATATCATGGATAAAATTGTTATAATCATTTTCTAGTGGACAAGATTTCTGCCTAACCATTTATCAGCCAAGAGCTACTCTTCAGATGCCTGGGATACAGCTATTCTATGTCTAGAATTCCATATCCCAGGCCCGTCCTTATTCTTCAAATATGGGTTGTCAGTGATTCATATAAGCATGCTAATTGTGTCATTACGCTATACAAAAAGTGCAACTTATTATATGAGGTTACATACTATAAATCCGTACTAAGAAAACAACAGCGTCCATCCCTTAATATTATCTAAGCAAATACAGAAAATTTGTTAAAGATTGGTTAGGTTAGTTTTTTTTCATTTAAAATACGGGAGAGAGGGAAAATGAAGGGACTAGAGAAAAATTTAAGTATAAATCCAATGTAAAAGAACACAAATTCTCAAAAATTGTATCAGTTCTTAATTAATATAGCATCAATATTGTTACTACTATCACAGAACAGATAGCCAACGCGGGCCAAATGTGATGTTCACATAGAAACTAACCTCTGTTTGATGATTTTTGTTTTTATTTTCTGTTAGAAGTATATGTTTCTCTTTAGTGAAACATTATATATTCTCCAAGTCAATTTTTAGTAAAATGTATTTAAAACATTATATGCCTAAGAATTTTAGGGTAACTATTATATATGGCTATACATTACATTCAAGGGAAGTAAGAATTTAGAATCGGAAGTAATTACACAGCCTGAGAGCTTAATGAAAAGAACATAGTCATATTTGTTCATAAATTTTAGCATCTGGTTAAAGTTCTTGGCACAGTATGGATGACCAATAGATATCTGCTAAATAAATCAATTGAACAGATGAGATATATAAACTAATTTATCATATCCTAATCATCTAGTACTTATAGAAATGGTTCAATAAATACCTGACTAATTGACTAATTAATGCAATAAACTAAAGTAGAAACAAATTGAAGATGTGACTTGGTATATAGAAATATACAAGAGAATAACTTGTATCTTACAATAACAGAATAAAAGAAAAGGTATCAAATAGGGGCAACATATGTAACAGTAAAAGTGAATAATTATTAAATGATTTTGTGACTTTTCATTTTCAGGTCAATTATTTTAATTCATATGAAAATAATACAAATTGCCTAACATTTAATCTGATATCTTTCAAAAATTCGGTTTTGGTTTGGTAATTGTTTTAGAATTTGTTCTTATTAATTTTGATGTAACTGAAGCTCATATTTACAAATTTTAATGATATTTGTCATTTCTCTGTAATCCCTATGTATATAAATAATGTATACAATACCAAGGAAATAAACTAATTTTAATAAAAGTATTATATTAATGAACTTATCAGTGATCCCTATATGACAAAAGAAGTAATTTTTACTAATATGTAAAATGAAATCTACATTTCATTTTGAGTTCTAATAAAAACTTCCATTTAACTTAAATTAAAAATGTGTTTGAGCTCTCCTGTTTTAAATTGGGCTTTTTGTTTGTCTTTGCACACCCTGGATTACTGTCATAGTAATAGAAGTTCAAGATCATATCAGGGTAGATTTGGTTTATCCAAATTCATTTAATTTTAAAGGTTTAGTTTAGAATTAAAATAAGTTTAATTCAAGAAATTTTAATCCATGGTTAACTTTATGTATCTGTGTGCATTTCTTTCTTAAATTTAACAATCAGTTTTAAAATAATGCTTAGTATTTAATATGTAGAATTTAAGTAGCATAAGATAATACATATATTATTCTTATGCTATGTGTTAACTCACTAGAAATCATTAATATTAGTAATTACTTAGGATAAGGGCATGTAGCATTTTTATTTATTATGCTATTTATTAATTTGCTTACACATGGAGATTTTTACACTCAATTCTTAGAAGTAAATGGGAAAATTTGTGTTTAAGTTGTTCACTAGGTAGCTGAAGTAGTATTATCTTCAAATCCATTCATGTATTAACTGAGGACAAAAATAGAATATGGACATCCTCAAATTTAAAGACATGTTAAAAATGACACCTGCAGCTAATTTTATTATCTCAAACAGAATAATGTGGATATATTTCTTTTGTGTATAATCAGTACAGGACTCCATAATTATATAAATATCAAAGTGAAAGTTACCAAAACATCTTGAAAGGTAGCTAAGTACATATTACTATTTACAAGAATACTTTTAGCTATAAAATATTCCAGATATTAAGCTATGAAACAATCCAGATATTTCTGTATTTACTTTGAATCTCATTTCAGAAGGTTTACATGCAAAATATTGCTAAGTTTTCTAAATTATAATATAAATTTGGAGGCAGTGAGGTGGGGGAATCCCATCTTTGATTAAGATTTCTAGGGATACTACCATGTCAGTTAACTCAGCATGATAGATGCCATATTACTGCCTCACGATTGCCTCAGGATCAGTTGCTTCTAGGAACTTGTGTTGATTTGATTAAGAAGGAGTAGTTGCACTTGTGGGCATCAAGGAAGATTGTTTTCCTTATATTTTGTAGGATTTTTTTTTAATGCATTCTATAGGCAGGACACAATGTCTTTTACAATAGGTTACTTGAGCTTAAAATCTAGAACACATATCCTGAATATATAAAGCAAATGCGTTATGTTGCACTGGGGGTAAGCAGGGGCTAATAACAATGGGGATAGAGAAGAAGAAAATGTTCTAAAATTGATTGAAGTGATTATTGCACAACTCTTTTTAATGTTAAAACTGTTGTATGATATGCCAATATATCAATAAAACTGACAAATTTCTAAAATAGATATGATTAATCCAAAGATGCTAAAAAACCTATTCACAGAAAACGAGCTGGAAGCTGGAGTGAAAAGATTAAGAGCTTAGCACTCCAATGTACCGGAGAACTGCAAACTTAAAGTAAGACATTAAACAGAATCTAGTAGTGGATTACTCCTGGGCTGCCAACCTTGCAGGTCAAACCCACCAGCCACTCCTTCTGTGGTGAAAGACTGTTCTCATAATGATGGACAGTCTAGGCAACCTAAAGGAGCAGTTCTACTTTGCCCTAGAGTGTTACTGTGAGCAGAATTGACTCAATAACAAAGAGGATATTTTTGGTCATTGGTTTGTTTTGGTCTGTAAACATATATCTTTCAAATGCTATATGATTATATGATTCCACTACTACTTTTTAAGCAGAGACAACTGACAGTTGTCTTAAAGACTTAAGAATGAATGCTGAACCATTAGCAGAAAATTATAAATTTCCAAAATATTTACGTATAAATTTACAACAGTATATTTGATTTCTTTCATCGTTTAAGTGCATAAAGTGAATCTTTTTAATAGGAAAAATACATGATTTGATTTAAAAAGAGAGTAATTCAAGAAAGAACAAAAATACTTATCAATATATTTGTCAGATGAATCTCTGAAGTGAAGCTGATATAAAACTCACATTTAAGTGTGCATATGGCGTAAAATATAGAGGTAGGCATAAATGATCAGCATTTTACCAACATGAAAAATTATATGTAGAATTCAAATTAATTTTGGATTCAGAGCTGTTTTCTAGATATGTGACAGAATATAAAAATTAAAAGTATATCATGAGTTCAAGACCTGCAAGGGAATAAAATGCAAATTAATCCTGAGGCAAATAGGGTAAAAATAAAGTAAATTATATTTAAAAATGTACCTATCTGTTGAATATTGAATAGCGAGGTAAGCATATATGAAAAATGATCATAAAGTTCTAACTTCAGAGAAAGAATAAAAATTTAAAAATCAACATAAGCTGGACTTTAGCATAGATTTAAGATTTAAGTATAGAAATATAAAACTATTTTTAAAGTAGGTATTTGAGTTTCTGATTTGAAAGCATGAAAAGCGGAAATAAAGCAGTTTTGTGTGGAGATATATTTCTTCTGAAAACAGTTATAAATGCTAAGTGGAAAGCTAAGGTAGTCTTTTTACACTGCTTCTTTCAAAAATAAGATCTTCCCTCCAGATATTCCTTAGCCCTCAAACCTAAATATTGGTCTGAGTGGCTTATACAAAAAAAAAAAAGGAGGAAAAGTAAGGCTGAAATGGACTTGGAGTCTTCAGTGACAAACAGTTCATTTCAAACAATCGCAATACAAAAAATAAATAAATAAAAATAAGGTCTTCTTTTAATTTTCATTACTTGGGTTTTCTCACAAGTGCGTTGCTTATTCGGGGATGAAACACATCGTATTCTGATGTTAGATTTAACATGAATCTTGAGAAATGGAAATAATTCATATTCTATGGTGATTTGTATGTTTGTTTGTTGAGATTCTACTTAAGGATACCAGGCCCTAGCACACATATAGCTTCCTGACACAACCAGCATGCTTACTGCCCCCAAAGGCAGCAGGTGCATTGTAATAAGTGATGTGTCTCTTAAAACGTCATTACCCTTCCATCGCCCCTTGGGAAATAAAAGAAAAGGAAAAGGAAAATTCATTGTGACTTTTGACAATTATTAGTTAGAAAAACGAGGTAACAATTGCCAAAAAAATCACAAAAGTGAGCATGTTACCTGGCTATGACAAAGAGCACACAACTGACACCCAAGTAAGCCAGCAGAATATACATCCAGATATCAGGGGAGAGAGGATTCAGGAAGGAGAAGACGCCTGGGTTTGTACCATTGGGCTTGCGGTACAAAATACTTATTCCGAGTGTCATAAAGGGCTTGGAAAAATCGATGACCTTCTCTCGGACGTAGGTAATAGCCAATGGAGCAACTGCCAGGTCGGCTTTCTGTAGAAAGACACAAGTAAGAAAGGAAAACATGGTCATCGGAAGTCAGTAACCCAATTAAATAAAACAAAGACTTTACATTTGAGAACTGGGTCCCAGTCACAGTTAAAAGATGAAGCATTCTTTACTAAGAGGTGAAGACATGTTGTACTTTGTAACTCATTTCTAATCTGTTTCCACACTAGCAAATAAGCATTTATAACTAGTAGTAAATAAAGGAGGAAAAAGCTGAAGAAAATATAGTACATTTTGCTTAGAAGCTATTGGAATGCAAAACCTCCTAATCACTTCTAATTTAAATGTTAAAAACACATAAAATATTCATTATATTCTAGATACAACTGGTCAAATTCTAAGTAGCACCAATATTAATAATAAGAGCTACCTCAAATTACTTAGCTAGTGATCAAGAAACATTTTTGTGGTTTTAAAACTCTGGAGTTTAGTTAAATGTTGTCAGTTTGTAAATAGTTAAAGCATTGTGAAAATCATTTCTTAATGTCATGTTGTTTACTGTCCCTGAGCTTTATTTTTATTCCTCTAATTTGTTTTACATTATTTAATGAAAATCCTTGCAGCCTTGCCTAAATCACATTAGGAAATGAGTTTTTCAATTTTCGCAAACTTGCTAATTTTCCACGGTAGCTTAAATATGTTAAATTACTAATGCTTTTCACTCATCATTTTATAACCATCTGTCAGGGATGAACTTAAGCTCTGAAATTTTGAAAAAAAATTAATACATTTTAAAGAACAAAGGCCTCTCTGATGGAAAGCTACATTTCATGTACTTGTTCACAGTGATGCTGAGCTTCCAGAGAATGATTCAGAGATGCGATTGTGGGGTTACAGAAAGACCACAAAGGAATGAATTAAGGCATCTGCTTTTTCCTATACTAAGGAATTGTTGAAGTCTTACTGCAAATAGTTCCCTTGTCAAAAGGCCTAAGTTAGTCGAGCACATTATTTTGGTGTTCAGGGAGTGTGTCTGACAACAAGGGCACTGAGACCCTCTGATAATGACTTAGAGTGTATCTATAGAGAAGACATTTCTAGCTGAATAAGGGAGGAAAGCAAAGATTTTTCAGGTACTGAGGAAAGGTATAACTATATTTCATATTCATATCAAAACCACGAGTTGACAGACATAACAAGACAATATAATATTAAACTATTAATTTCTGAGCAATAGACTGATCCTCTGAATGATGCAAATGGTTAATGCACTTAGCTGCTAATCAGTGTAAGGTTCAACCACAGATGCCTAGGCAGAGAGGCATGGCAATTTATTTCCACATATAGCAACACTGAAACCCCGATGGAGGACAATTCTAGGCTGACACACATGGGATTTCCATGAATCAAAATTGACTTGACAGCAAATATTTAAAGGACTGTGTAAAAATTGTGCTAAACATTTATAAAAACCAAAATAATTAATATTTATGCAATGCCATTACTATCGACCTTTTCAGATAAAGAAACCCACATGTAAGAAAACTTGTTTTATGTCATAGAACTAATTGAACATGGGTACCAGCATGTGAACAGAAACTGTAAGTCTGTCACGAAGTTTGACCATGACATGTATTCAAATACCTAAATGGAATTAGGAGCACAAGAGTTTATTAATATTAACTAAATTACACAATCATTCATGAGATAATTTGTAAATATGGAAAGGAAAATATAAAGTAGGTCAAAATTTGATGAAATAATGTCTCTGAGAAGTTTAGAAGCTCAGATGCAGGAAATAGTCATAGGATGTATCTTGCATAGGGAAAACACATGATTCCATGTAAATAGAAATGAAGTAAAGATGTCTTGAAAAATAATTTTTTCATAGGGAAAAAAATGAGAGTTGAAGACATGCAAATAGTAAGTCAATAATGGACATCAAGAAATTCTGGTTGGCTCTAATTATTAGGGTGGAATATACAATAGAGTTTATCATGTGCTCCATTGTTTTATGATCTCTCTTCTTTGAGGAACATGAAGGAAATATGTATAATCACTATACACATATAATGCATATATCTTAAGGTGAAAAACATTTTAAGTAGGGTGAATTTTTTTAAGTTAGAAAATAATTCAAAAAGCATATAAGACCACCCCAGTAAAAAATTGTTCTAAAGGCACATATTTATAATATATTTTTCAGATGAATTTCAAATTTTGCTTAGTATTGCCTAAAAGAAGTTATATATTAAATATAAAAGGAAAAACAAATAGGATATTATTTTAATTAAAATGAATTAGCCCCTGAAAATATGCAATAGATATTTAAAAATATTTAATAAAAACTATAGTTTATTCCTACAATTTCCTCAGTTTATAGTATTTGATGTGCTGTGATTAATTATTTAGGACTCAGCTATGTCTTCGTGTATTATGTTCTTGATTGTCTCATCCCACAATGCATGAGCTCTGTCTTTAGTGTTCAGTGTGTCAAATTTGCTACTTAGATATTCTTCAAGTGGGATATACGGAAGGATGAAGAAAATATCAAGATTTTCTATCATAAAATAACTAGGATGTCTCTAAGTGAAGCAAAGGCAGGTGAAAAACATAGATTCAGTAAGGGATTATAAAGAGACTTTTCCCCAGCTTTGTCTCCCCCAAAGACATGCCAAACATTAGTGGCTATTTGCCAGCATATGGTAGGAGGTCAGATACTTAGAGACATACTCCCTTAAGGCAGTCAATTGCCAGACAACTGTCTGCACCCTCCACAGGTGGGGCCCACTCCCTGCTTTTAAGGACAATGGGCTACTTCTCCCTAAAGGCTTGCGACCATTAGTCTGGTCCCTGTAGGTGAAGTTTACAACCTACTGATAATGGTTTCTATGGAGATTCAGAGAACAGGTCAAACCCGCTCAGTGATATCCAAACTTAGGCTACCATCCTGAATCTAGGCTCCACCCATCTTGTCACACGTATACTCCCAATCCCTCCTCTTCCTATTGTGTGTATATCCCTAGATTGTCCCTCTTTCGTTGCTGTATAACCTATAGTGCAAGCCCTTCCTGTGACATATGTCTTTTCTTGCAATTAGTGGGCTTGCATGCCCCCCAAAGATATATAAGCCTTGGTTAGCAATAAAGCTCCCCCTTGGCCTCCTGTCCTCTCCCTCTATCTCTCCCCCAGTCCTCACTCTCCTTTTCCCTTTCCCCTTGTCCTCCTTCTCCTCCCCCTCTCCCCTGCCCTCCAGTCTCCCATCTCCACGTGGACCACCAAGAATGGCTGAGGTGAGCATGCTACTACGAAATGTGTCTGACTCCATTATTTCAATCTCTCTTCTCTCATGCTCTCTATGACTTTATTATAATCTTTATATATCTCAACTGTACAATTGCGCTTATCGAACCTGCAATTAGTTGTGGGGGGCTGGCTTTTCCCCCACAATGGTACCCAATGTGGGGCAGTTGGAAAAGAATTCTTTTGAGTTATACCCCATGTAACAATTGTACGGCCCCACCAGAATGTAGTGAATCAGAAAATTGTGAAGTAAGGATCCGGTGTGGGGATTGGCAGATACATAGTGGAAACAATGAATGAGTATTTTATAGAGAACAATGGGGCAAGGTAAAAGTAAACATGAAACCTATGGTACTACACTCATCCACTTACTGAAAAGACAGGGTGAAAAACTAATGAAGAAAAAGATGCAATGTTTTCTAAAAGTAGTAAAAAGGTATAATCCATGGTTCCGAGAGGAAGGAACTTTTGATCTAGAGACCTGTGAGAAAGTGATTGTAAACTTAAAGAAAGCACACAGAGATGGGGAGAGTATCCCACATGGTGTCTGTGGGTTCAAGTTAAGATGGTTTTAAAACCTTGGCAGGAGGAAGAGAATGAGGATTATCAGTGCAGTAAGAAGTCTTGTATCTATTCAAATCTAGAAAAGCAAGCTAAAGTCTCTTTGAGCATGATTTAGGTGATGAAATGTTAGGAAAAACTGAAGAAGCAGGGATTGATTTGTTATCTGAGGCATCTGATTATAAAGGAAACCTCAAGGTCAAAGCCAATGTGCCCTGGGGGGAGGGGGGGGGACAGACTGCAGCCTCCTAAGGTTTAAAGGTGATAAAGCACTAGAGGAAGCAAATTCCAAATTTCAAACAAGGCTATTAAACAATCCCAGGAAGCTCCCTTGCTTTCAAAGGTAGGGAAAGCCAAAAAAAAAAAAAAAAAACCAGCAGAGTAGTGAAAAGCCTCTAAGCTACACGCACTTAAATTGGGTGAGAAGCTGGCAGAATGAATATCAGGCAGATGAGAAGATTTTAGACAGAGCTGAAAAAACTAAGCCTGAGTCAGGCGGGGACATCATAGTAAAGCATCTGCTCCCCTGTTGGAATTTAGTGTAAGAAAGACTAGAGATTATAAAACAATTAACCAAGCCAGTGCTAGAGGTAGAGAGATTAGCTTCATAGAAATGCAAATTAAGGGAGCTAACACAGAAGATGAAGTTCAGGAAGTGGAGCTTCGTGATATACCGTGGACATACTGTGGAGAAGACCAGCTCAGAAAATAGAAGCAAAGAGCCAAAGTATAGGAAAGCACCTTTACTTTCAAGGGTAGACAGGGGGAATGCAGAAGTAGGATATTTAGAATTTAGAATGTCTTATCCTGTTAGAGTGGTTACCAGACAGCCTTATGGGAAACACCTACAAGGAATTCACAATGCCTTACCCTTTGAGTTGCTAAAAGATCTCAAGCAGGCAGTCCATGATTATGGCCCAGACTCACATTTTGTAATTAGCATGATAAGTGCTTTAGCAGAATCTGAGAGCTGGACCCCTGTTGACTGGAGAGCCTTGATGAAAATATGTCTTTACCCTTCAGAATTTTTATAATATTGTATGTGGTGGGATTTTACAGATCATTCACAAGCTCGTAAGAATGCCGAGGATGGGATATAGGAATTCACCAATTGCTAAGGGAAGAAAATTATATCACAATTGAGTCCCAACTACAGTTTACTGAACAGACAATAACACAGA